TTTTTAACCAATATAATTAAAAAAATATATTTATTATAAGTCATGTAATATAAGTATATATTATTTTTGAATCTTTTATTTTTATAAATCAGATTTAATACATAGAAACGTAACACATAGAAAAATTGTGAAATATAAGAGAATAAATTTAATAAAAAGATAGAACAATAGAAAGAGATTAATTCAGAGATTAATAAATTAATTTCAAATTTTGCAAATTATTTAACTTTAAAATTGAAAATCATGATCTTGTGATCAAATCGAAAAAAATATTTGATTCATAATATTAAAATTTCGGATTTAAAAATGTATTATAAACAATAATATATTATATACGATATTATATACAATATTAAAAAAAAATAAAAAAAAATTTTGTTTTTATAATATGATTTTTTATATAAATATAAATATTAATAAATATATAAATATTTATGATATTCTTATACAATCATATTTTATTTTTCTGACTCATTTTCGTTTTATTCTTTTTTTTTTGTGCAAATATATATAAATTATATGTAGAAATATAGAATTAATATACTTATAATAATTGAATGAATTTAAATATATGACTGAATATATCTTAAATATATAACTAATATTGAATATAAAAAAAAGAATATAATATAATATAATGATTAAAAAAAAATGTATTTAAAGATTTCATATTCATAATTTATAATTATTTTTTTTCATCTTTTCAAAACTCAAAACTTTTTTTAAAAATATTAGTAGAATTATATTTTTTTATATAGCTTATAATGGAACATAGAATATAAATTATGTCAAATATATTAAATAAAATTCACATTTTAATATTTGACATCATTTTAACATCTATGTTATAGTTATATAATCGTATAACATCTAATATTGACGAGAAGTTTACATTTTTTAGAATCCACTTATATATTAGTTTTTCCATATTTGTTAAAGCATATATCTATGCCATAAATATATAAATATATATGTAAATATGAATTGAATATAAAATACATATTATTTTATCATACATATCTTATGTTTCACGAATCTGCCTATGCGAACGTGTATGAATGTATGAATATGAATATATATGAATTATATATATAATTCTTTATGAATGATTATATAAATAAAGTTTATATAAAGTTTGTATTATATTTATATTATAATATAAGTTTGCATTACAATTATCCTTTTTCTTTCTCAATTTTTTTAAAATATGTATTTTAAAAGCCGATATTTTTAAATCTTTTTTTTAAAATTTTAAAAAATTTGATTTTATGATATGATACATGATAATATATAAATATATAAATATGATAATATATAAATTTCTTATATATATATTTTTTATTAGAACTAATGGTAATATATATAAAATAAAATATTTGCATAAATAAATTAAAAAAATAAATTAAATAAATGCATAAGTTTATTTAAATTTCAAATTAATTATTTAATTAATAAAATACTTTTTTAAAAATATTTAGCATTTAATTCTTTAACATATATATTAAATCTATAAATTTATATTTCTATGTTTGAATTTATGAGTAATTAAATAATTGATTATATAATAAGATAATTAATCTGATAAATAATCAGAGAAATTTTTTAATTATATCTGAATTTCTTAATAATGATTACATTTTTAATAAACATTCACAGATATATGTATGTATAATTATTATTTAATTATATATATCTTTTTATTTAATTATCATCATAAATCCACAAAAGGCATTACAATTTTTAAATAGTTGTATAAAATACATCAGTATATAATAAATATTATTAATAAATATTAAATATTAAATATTATTAATAAAAATAAATCAATACAATTTTATCTTTTTAGATCTATATGATTAAAGATTAAAAAAAGTTTGTAAAAAAAAAATTTATAAAAATTAAATATTTTCAAATTTTTAAAAAATACTACAAAATGAAAAAAAAATTTCTTTATTATTATCTATTATTATATACATTATTACTATATTATATTATATTACATACTATATATTATATTATTATTATATTATATTTTTAATATTATTATCTAAAAAATAATTTTAATTAATAAAATAAATAAAAAATTAATAATAATGAATTATCAATAATTATATTAATAAATGATGATATGAATGAATGATTATATTAAAATTATATAATTTTTTTTTCACATAAATCAAAACAATAAAATAAATAAATTAATGAACATGTAATCCCATATATATAAAATTGAATATTTAAGTTATAAATATATAATATGTTCAAAAAAATTATTTTAATAATAATAAATTATTAAAATATTTTATAATCTTTAATTTAATATCTCTCCAATAGTAGTAGACTTTCACTTTTGTTGAATCTAAAAATCTTCAAATAATGGAAAATCTTATCAAATTATATTCATAATATATTATTTTTATCTTGAAATTTAGAAATTAATAATGTAATCTTTCATACTATATGTTATCTTTTATACTATAATTATTTTTATTATATATCTATTTGTATATTTAATTATCATAATTTAATATATTATAATAAAAAAAGTAATATATTAATATAAGAGTATTGGAAGAAATATCATTAATTTTAAGGGATTATATTAAATTATTTTTTTAAGAAATTTAAAAAAAATATACGACATTTTTATATATGTCAACTAATAAATTCCATATGTCATATATCTTTATATATTTTAAAAATATTTAAAAAATTTCTAATAAGTTTTACATTTAAATCGTTAAATTTTTAAATCATTAATCTTAATTTTTAAAACGATAAACATAATAAAAAAAAACACGTGTAATTTTAATTTCGTTAGTTATGAAAAAACTTCAGACTATTTATATGGCCAGCATTTATATTATTTAAATCATAATTTATAATAATTATATTTAAAAATTAGTTATTAAAAAATTGCACATATCTATTAAACCTATTTAAAAATATATATTTCCATTTTATTAATCGGCATACCTTTCTTTGACAACAAAACTTTTCCAAATGTCTTTCAATATGGTTCGCAAACGTCAAAGGCACTCGCGTCTTCTCCATTACCCATAATTTATTTCCTGAAATCGTCAAATTCACGTGTGCAATCTCTTTATTTCACTTCAATAAAATAAAAGTAACGAATAAAAAATTTTTCGATGTGAATTTTAATCTTAAAATCAATTAAAAATCTGAGAAATTACTTCAGTGCTTTTTAATATGGCGCAGCTTTGAAAGAGCTTTGCCCACTGGAGAGTGAGAATTCATCCGCCATCTTGGTGAACGCATGCGCCTTCTTCGAGAGAAGTTGAGGACAAAGACTACGCATGCGCGATTAATCTCTTTATGGTCCCCTCTTCACATTATATGGGCCTGAATTGGGACATAAGGAGGGTTTGGGCAGATATAAATGATATATAATTAAATATTCTCCAGGAGCATATTATATTATTTGAAAATATAATATTTCTATTTATAATATTTATGGTTGTAAACCAAATTATTGTTAATTCATGTTCAAATATATTTATTTACAAATTATTTTTAAATTAATTTAAAAAAAAAATAGTTTACGAGTATCTCAATTAAAAAGCAATTAAAAAGCAATCAACAAAAAGCAATATCATATGTTAATATATTGATATTTTGCTATATTTATAACTATATTTGCTATATTTATAACTATTTTTACAGTTTGTAATAACAAATAATTAATTTTACTTATAAATAATATTATTATTATGATCTTTCTATAAATAATATTTTAAATTTATTTAAATACATTAAACAATAATAGTAATTCTAAAAAAAATTCAAAAAGAGAAAATTTTTAAAAGAGAATAAAATTT